AATTATTACATCCACATGACTAACAATTATTACATCCACATGATTAACAATTATTACATCCACATGATTAACAATTATTACAGCCACATGACTAACAATTCTTACATCCACATGATTAACCATTATTAACATGATTAACAATTATTACATCCACATGGACGCAGGTAAATAAAGGACGTGCAAAGTTGTGCCAAAAATACATTTAACAGGAACAGATTCAGCCTTACTTGAGGACAGGGTTGGGCAATATTGGCAAAAAAATTAATCACGATTAATTATAGTATTTAGCCGATAACGATTAATTTGACGATTAATCCCCTGGAGTCCCTGGACACCCTTATATCGTAGTCACATGACCAATTTAGTGGGAAAGATTTGCTCTTTGTAAAAAAATTGTTCCAAATTTTGTGAAAATTACAGATTTCAGGCTATACATCATATTTAAATTGTGTTGATAGATAAATAAATTACAGAACTTTATTTTTAATGTTCGTCATATTTGAAGCAAAGAGGAGCAGCGAGCGGACTGAGTGGAGTAATTCCCAGTCCATCTGCCTGGTGGCATTAATCATATTAATCGTCAAGTGACAAAAAATAATCAATTAATGTTTTTCTGACAATTAATTGCACATGATACGATTATGCCCAACCCTACTGGAGGATATAATAAAAAGTTTAACACGCAGAGCTTTTATTTATAAACAGATAGAATTTTCTGATGACGAGTGGCTCATCAGCCATTTTGAGGAAAAATAATTTTTTACTTTGGCACTGCTGCGCTCTGGGAGCGCGACACAGCGAGTGGCCGCGTGCACCAGGGGTTCTGTGGAACCCCTTTCCAGAAGGAGCTGGCAGACCCATCAGGACTCAGTCCAGTCCACCCAAAGCTGAATCATGACCAATGAAATCGTCTCCATATGATTCTAAAGGCTGAGTTATGGTCGCGCTCTGGAGCGTGTGCACCCTCGCCGGCAGTGGAGATGTTTCATACTTTGCATTTACGTTGTTGTAGATTTCTCCAAAATGACACGTGGAAGTACACTTTACAACTTGTGAAAATGCTGTAAGTAGGAGAGCAAAAGCTTGACGGACAGACAGACTGTACACAAAGGCTGCGGCAAGCGCTGTGTTTGTGGAGACTCTCCAACATCACGTCACRTCATGTGAACTCTACTGAGACGCAGAGACTCRTTTCTTAATATCAGCTATGRAATAAACTAAGATCTATGTTCTACCAAACAYTKAAGTTCCTCTGTGTTTACAGWAATTATGGTAATAAACTYGTGCGCAAAGTTAATATTTTCAGACTCAGAATGGATGGATGAGCCGGTTGCGCAACACAGCAGAGCGCGCACACACACACCGACACACAATCACTCGTTCTTTGCGTGATAAACATATTTTATTCCTATTTTTACTTAGGATTTTTTTCACACTCACATTATATTTAATTCATTATTTTTATGACATTAGAAATCATTTCTGATCGCACAGGGATCACTCAAACGTGTCCTTCACACATGCAGGAAGTAATTTGCATCTATTTAACACATGTTAATGAAGGCGTGTCAGGGGAGGTGTCTTACCTGCACTCAGTTCCACATTAATTGTGATGTACAAAAGCAATGTGCGTGGATTCAGGCGTACGCACAGTTTGATACATCTGGATTTTTTTGTGCGTACGCTGTTTACTGGATTTGACCGTACGTCAGGTTTCAGTAAGAAATCCACACAAGTCTTTATACATGAGGACCCTGGGGAGCAGTTGAGGGTTAGGTGCTTGCTCAAGGACACCACAACATGTGGGAGTTGAACCTGTTACTTTCTGTCGCAAGTCAGTTGCCCCATCAGTGCTCCACAGCTGCCCCCAACAGATTAGTATTCAGATTCAGTCGGAGCATGTCAGCAGTGTGAACAACCATCAGACTTTTTAAAAGACTAAAACTACATTCTTTTATTTGACGAAATCTAACAAACCAAAATAAGATTAAATCCTAAGAGAATTTTTATACGACAACAGTTTCTTAGGTTTGGACTCAAGTAGGAGGACAACCAGGAAGAATGAGTCAGAGACTGAAGCTGTAGAACAACAACTGCTGCAGTGGCACAAACTCTGAGGCAGGGGGAAAAAAAAAATCAAGAAATCAGTCCTTGATGCATTTTAGTGATTCATCTCTCTGTGGGATGCTGCTGCGTGGTTTTTACAGTCTGAGTTTACGGCTCACCTGGTGTGAGCCTTAAATATGACATACACATCATCTCTTTCCACTAATTTATTGTTTTTATCTAGTTATCCTAACTGAGTATAATGYATAAACCATTATAATCACCAGGGGCCTCATGTATCAACAGTGCGTACGCACAAAAACCTTGCGTACGTCGTTATCCACGCAAAACTCTGGATGTATCAAAACTCAACTGAACGTGGAAATGTGCGCAGCCCCACGCCAACTACAGGGCTGGCGTATGCACGTTTCTGTGGCTTTGGTTCCTGTGGCAACATTTAGAGGTGATTCTGAGAAACTGTTCATGATGTGAAAATGATTATTGTTCACAGCAGACACACATGATTAACAATTATTACATCCACATGATTAACTATTATTACATCCACATGATTAACAATTATTACATCCACATGATTAACTATTATTACATCCACATGGACGCAGTTAAATAAAAGACGGGCAAAGTTGTGCCAAAAATACATTTAACAGGAATAGATTCAGCCTTACTGGAGGATATAATAAAWAGTGWAACACGCAGAGCTTTTATTTATAAACAGAAAGAATTTTCTGATGACGAGTGGCTCATCAGCCGTTTTAAGGAAAAATCATTTTTTTAGTTTGGCACTGCTGCGCTCTGGGAGCGCAACGCAGCGAGTAGCCGCATGCACCACGCGTGCACGTGCAGCAGCAGCGATTGAACTGGGGTTCCACTGGAGCTTCCCAGAGGGAGCTGCAGACCCATCAGGACCGTGTCWGTCCAGTCCACCCAAAGCTGAATCATGACCAATGAAATCGTCTCCATATGATTCTAAMGGCTGAGTTATGGTCRCGCTCTGGAGCGCGCGCACCCTCGCCGGCAGTGGAGATGTTTCAAACTTGGCATTCAGTTGTTATAGATTTCTCCAAAATGACACGTGGAAGTACACTTTACAACTTGTGAAAATGCTGTAAGTAGGAGAGCAAAAGCTTGACGGACAAACAGACTGCACACAAAGGCTGCRGYGMGCRCWGYGTTTGTGGAGACTCTCCAACATCACGTCACATCATGTGAACTCTACTGAGACGCAGAGACTCATTTCTTAATATCAGCTATGAAATAAACTGAGATCTATGTTCTACCAAACATTTAAGTTCCTCTGTGTTTACAGTAATTATGGTAATAAACTCGTGCGCAAAGTGATAAGCCGGTTGCGCAATACAGCAGTTTGCGCGCACACACACACCGACACACAATCACTCGTTCTTTGCGTGATAAACATATTTTATTCCTATTTTTACTTAGGATTTTTTTTCACACTCACATTATATTTAATTCATTATTTTTATGACATTAGAAATAATTTCTGATTGAGCAGGGATCACTCAAACGTG